CTGGTGACATAGACACCATGACCCTCGCGTCGCCATCGTTAACTCCACATTGCTTGATCCGTATGGGAAGAGGATGAGCCGTAGAGGTCAAAGAATCTGCTCATCCTCCTTTCGTCTCCACTGCAGGCTCCCAAAGTAACCCTGGAGTTGGAGCCATGCATGGCAGGCAGGTGGGCTTAGAAGTATGTGGCTTTGCAAGGGTCAGATTGGAAGGGGTGCTGGATGTCATAAGGGCACACAGAGCTCATAAATTTCTCAAAGGAGATTCTCACCTCCCCTCTTGGCTCAGGGATGGGGACCCAGTGATTATGAGAAGAACCCACCGGGAGAGCTCCAGGGTCCCGGTGGGTCTCAGGGCCGACCACCGGCCATCGGCCCTTTGAAGGAGTCGGGGCTCTCAGTTCCTACACAAACTGTTATCCATTAACATCCAATTATCCCTTGGTCCGAGCCATTAATTATAAATCAGCCGCTAATTGGAGTAATTAGCCCCCCACAAGCTAATGGGCCGAGACTGAGGGAGGCCCCTCCGCCTACAGTCCTCCAGTTTCCCGAGGTCCTTAATGTTGAGGGTGCAGAGAAATCAGGCGGCTGGAGGTAATTTTTTTTTTAAGGCAGCAAAATGCAGCCAGGGAAGGTAAAGAAGATGGGAGAAGCCACTTTTTTTGTTGCTTTTTCTTGAATCTGGTCCAGCTTCAGCATTTGAGAGCAGGCAGGTGGCAGCGGAGGTTGAGGGACCTGACTGCAAGTCTTGAGAGCAGAGTTGTCTGGGTAATTGCTTGATTCTCTGCTTCCTTTCTGGCAGAGATCCAGCTAGCGCACTGGAGATAAAGGAGACTTGGGCAGAGCTAAGATGGAGCAGGGCATAGGTTAGGACCTCAGGATGTTCCTGGCCTCTCCATGGTGCAGAAGTGGCAACCCTGCCTGCTGGGTTAGCCCTGGCCTGAAGTACCTCAGGGATAACCTGGTCTGCTCTTGGCCATCTAGATCCAGGCCGGGCTGGGAAACAGGGACTTCAGAGTCCCCTGTGGAGCAGAGCTGCTCTAAGCCCAAGTTAGGGCCTCCAAACGGCTGGAGGAACTCGGAGGAGGCTCTGTTCTTCGGGCACAGAAAGCATGGTTCCTGCTCTGCACACTGACAGATGTACAATACATCGGGTATGCAAACACACCCTGGAGATGGAGCCGTGGAGGGTGGAGGGGGCTGCAAAATCCAGTCGGCTCCACTAGCCTCAGGCACACTGAAGCGATGTCCACAGTGGCAGTAGACTGGCGGAAAGGAGTGACGCCGTTCGGGAAATGTGCTCCCTCCTGAAATGTGCAGCTCTCGTATCCAGGGAACTCCCCTTTGCCGGCAAAAACCTGGCTAAAGTCCGAACAACAGCTGGGGCCAGAGCCACCACAGCTCTGGTCTGTGCAAACTGGGAGGCCACCCATCAGGCAACACTGGGGCAGAAGCAAATAAGCTTGGAAGAACAGACAAGTGACTAAATAGAGTCACTGGATCTGATAAGGGAGAGCCCAGCTCTGTGCCCTTCTCACAGAAGGGGAAACTGAGACTCGCTCAAGGGCAGACAGGAGAGGCACTCAGTACAGGACGAATGTGCAGACCAGAACACAAGCCCCGCCGGAAGCTCACCCACCCACCCCAGTGGCCTCCCCCACTCATTCGGTAATGGGCTTTGGCGGGCAGCAGTGGCGTCGCCGGGGGCCTTGATTAGATATTTATTGCTGTCATTTACATGGGCACCGCGGGGCGGCCGAGCGAGACTGTGGGGAAGGGGTGGAATTGAGGGCGAAATAGGAAGGCAGGGGTGGGGGAGGTGAAGACTGGCTCCTCAAGGATTTAGGACCGGCCGGGAGAGTAAGCTTCAAGGCCCGGAGAGAGTGGAGGGAATAGGGAGTGCAGAGGCCAAGCAAAAATGTAGATGCACCCTGCCTGGGGCTTCGTGGGGCTTCTGAGCAAAGCAGGGCCATAACACTTGGGACTGTTGCCCTAGGGGGTATCTGTGTTTGTTGAGCATGTGTGTCTGTGTGAGTTTAGCCTGTGAGTTGGAACTGTGTCTATCAGAGGGGTTTTGTGTGGTTTAGTGGATCTGCCTGTGCTTCTTCTTGGGTGACTTCTCAAAGTAAGTCTGAGTGTGATACCCATAGCCCGGGTGACTCTAACGCAGGAGTCCCGTTCTGTGTGCCTGTCAGCCTCTATATGCGTGTCTGTGTACAACCGCCAATTTAGACCGCTGGCAAATATGTGTGCACACACAGCATTCATTCAGACACGGGGGACTGAGCCTCTGAATCCGGTTCTCCCCTTCCCTCAAAAACCACCAGCCATGTCCTCATGCTCCAGTCACACCAGATGGGTTCCTCCTCAGAAGGACCCTGGCCTCCGGGAGGCTGACACTAAGGGCTGTAGTGGACTCCTCATTCCAGGCTGTATGCTCCCAGAGTGCTGAGGCCCGGGAGGGGATGGAAACTTTATTTCCTGCTCAAAATCTGCAGTGTGTGCAGGGGTGTGTGCCCGCAGTGTCAAGTGCAAGTTATGTTTCAGAATGGAGAAGTAGCTCATATTTCCCGACCACATGGGATTGTGCATGTGAAAGTGGCCAGGACAGGGGTGTAGAGATCCTGCAGACACTCACCCGATGCCCATGAAGCTGACCCATAAGCCCACTATCCAGCAGAGACCTTCCAGAGGCGCGAGTCCTTGCCTTTCACCATGGCCTTTCGCCTGGGGCGGGTTTCCACTCCTCTGCACCTCTGCCCTTCTGTTCTGCATTCCGTTCAGAGTCTGGGCTGCCAAATTCCCACCTCCTTGCAGGAGTTGGTGCCCCCAAGGTCTGCAGGGGTGGGGTATGGTGTTTACCCCCCTCCTGAGTAGCAATGCCCTGCTTCTTTTCCCAAGAGTGTGTCTACTCCAGCCATAGAGGAGAGAGCTTTGAGCCAATTATCCAGATAATTTGCTCTCACTAGGCAGCAAATTCGATTTTTTTGAATACCTAGACATATACATAAACGTAGCTGGTTTGCAGAAAGGGGAGGTGGAACTAAATTCATTGTTCCTTAGGCCAGAGTGCCTTTCCGTTTAAGGGGAGGACCGGGGATGAGGGTAAGTGAAACACAAATCCCCGAAAAATTGAAAACGACCCCCACTACACCCACCTAAAACTAACAGGCCACAAAACTTCCTAGAAAGGGATCAGACAGAGACGACCCGCCTGCAGCGCAAAGGAGCCCCAGCACTAGAGAGAGTAAAGGACTCTGGTCGTCCTGCCATCGCCACAGCCAGCTGGGAACTTGCACAATTTCCTCGGATGTGGAGCACACAACCCCTGCGGTGCCGACAGCCCCTTCCTCCTAGGCCCATCGAGTCAATAAAGCCCTCCTCTTTCCCCGATGTCCTCAAACTGGAGCTTCTCTTAGAAAACCAGCAACCGCCCACCCTGCCGCGGCCTGGGAGAACTTTTGTCAAACGAAAAAGACTTTCTGGGACCTGGGTTTGAAACAGCGGAGGTGCCCCAGGCCCCGAGGGTTCTCAGCTTTGGGGAATTGCATGCTTGGAAAGAGGGTGAAAAGGCCTCGGAGCTCGTCCTCCTTGTTTCCCCATTCTGGGACTCCTTCCTGCCCCAAATCACAAGCCTAAGGAGCCCACTGCCTCCCGAACTGAGTGTGGCTGGAATCCAGGAAAAGGCGGGGCCTCAGATTTTGTGCGAATTTCGGGAAGAACAGGTTTCCCTCAAGCTCCTTAAGTCCACTACCAGTGCCACCGAAGCCCCTGAGCAGGTTCCGGGAATTTGTGACCGTCAGAAAGTTCAGCTGGTGGTGCCTGGAACCCTGCATAGTCTTTAAGGGCCCCTGGCCTGTCGTCGTCCACGACCGAGTTACGGCCATCTGGTGTGGGAAGCCCAGAGAGGAAAGACCCTGGCAGTCTCCCCAATCCTTTGACCGCTCCCCAGAAGCGCCCCGAGAGCCGCTCCGGGGACTGCCCCCAGCCTGCCGTTCCCCACCGGCGCTCGCCTGATCCGCGCCGACTGAGGCCTCGGGAGGCAAAACGAATTCCAGGGAACCAGGGCCACTGCGCCCCAAACACCCACCTGGAGGACCCTAGCCCGAGGCCACGTCTATGAGAGCAGAGGCTGGCTGAGCGCCGAACCGCCCTCAATTGGAAAATTTGTGCGGAATCGCAATCAAGAGAGAAAAGGCTCACTTGGTGGCAGCTGAGTTTGAACGGGATCGGCGCGGGCGAAACCAGAGCCAGATCCCGGGCAATGCCCGGGGCACTGCGGGGTTCGCGTGGACCAGGAAGCTGGGGAGGTGTGGGCGGCCTCTCCACTCAGCGGGCTGAGAGCTGGGCCGCCGGCCGCGCCTCCTCCCCAGCCTCCACCCCAGGCTTCGCGACTCCCCGGGCCGCATCTGCTCAGCATTACACCGGCCACCTCCCTCTCCGCGCCGCCCCCTTCCAAACTAAGAAGGATTTGTCTCCGCTTAATATCCAAACCTCTTTTGTATTTTTTTTTTTTCAGGGACAAAGTAATATCTTCCAAATGAGGCAAAACCGTGACGGATCCGAGGCGTTCTCCGCGGGTGCCTGCGTCTCCGCGGGCCAAGGCCTGCATCTCCGCCTCGGCGCGTCTCTGCCCAGGGCTCGCCCTTGGCTCTCTCTGCCTCGGAATTTCGAGTTCTGCGCTCTTTCTGTTTTCCTAGATTGCTCGCTTTCTGCCTCCGTTTTCATCCCTGGGTATCGCTTCCTCTGTCTCACCATGGGTCTCTCTGTCCCCGACTCTCCGTCTTTCTGGAGTCCCTCCGCTTCTTCTGCCCCTGAGCCTTCTATCTGTCCCCAAGTCCCTGGCTCCCTGTAAACTTTCTGATCTGCCCAGTGGGTCCGGGACTGCAGGACCCCAAGAGGGAAGGCTGTCCCCGGGGTCTCACGGCCCGCGTCCTCCCCTCAGCGACCGTCCCGTGCCCCTCCCGGCTCGGCCCACCAGCCCCGCCCTCTCGTACCTGGTCAACCCGGCCCGCGCCGCCGCCGCTGCCGCTGCCATCTACGCGCGCCGGGGCCGGGGCTGGAGTTTTAAACTGCCTTTCCCGGGCGCCCGGCTCGGGCCCAGACGTTTCCTAATGGCCCTGGTGGCTGCCAATCACGCGTCGCTCCCGCCCCGCCCCGCCCCGCTGGTGCCGCAGCTCCCGGCCAAGGTGGCCCGGGCCCGACAGTCGGTGGGTCTGAGCGCGGGGCCCGCGTCCGTCACCTCTCCCGAATCTCTGCTCCTCGACCTCTGGCTCCCGGTCCTGGGATCTCTGCCTCTCTTGGGTCCGCAGAAGCCACAGGCCGATCCCTGGGGTGTTGAATGGTCTTGAGAAACCTCCCTCTCCCCTGTCCCACCCGATGCTTGGCACCTGGGGTCTGTAGAGGTGGCCTGGGGACGCCCCGACGGACTTGTGACCTCACTGTCCCTTCAAGGTTGGTCTGGAGCTGCGCGCACACATACGCGCGCACACACAACCCTCCTCATCAGTTCCACACTACCTACAACACTGCCACCCCCGCACCACCACGCAGCGCCACAGCCCGCAGTCTGAACTCGCCACTCACACACCCCGCCGGTGCGCTGGTTGGCGCTCCTAGCAGCAGCTCACCTGTCTGGCAGCTGAATGTCAGTCTCTGGGCCGAGCGGCTGCGGGCTGGAATTCATGGCTTCACACACAGCACAGGCACCTGTCGCCGGGACTGGGGGGACAAACACACTCCGCGACCGGTTCACATTGGGAAAATCGTGGGCCTGAGGTTGTCCTGCTCTTACCAGCACTCTGTTTTCTCAAGGTGGAAACTCGCTCACAGGAAGAGGACGCTCTGGGGCCGGCTCACAACGAGGCAGAGGCTCGGCTTCCCAAAAGGTGTGTGTCTAAGCTGTGTGCCAGGAGGCCGGTGTACGCTATACCCACACTGCCAGTGGATGCAGGGGTGGCAAGTTGCTGTATAGAGGCTCTGGGAGGCTCTGTAGATATGGCTGTGTGGAGGTGGCTGGAGAGGCCTTGGCCAAGTGTGTAGCGGATGTGGGGTGGGTGGTGAAGGGACCCTGTGCAACCAGCCTTTGGCCTCAGTGGCTGCAACTGTGACTCACATGTTGAGTGTGCCCTTGTGGCTGGTGCTCCCATGACCATGAATCCAAGTGCAGCTGTGGGGTTTCCTATGGTGTTGAGTCCTTTGTGTGTGTGTAGCAAGTCCTTGTGCAATTTTCAGCTCAAACGTAGTTGCAAATCCAGGTGGCTGCCCACAGGGTAGACACTCAGTCTTGGGACCAAAGCAGCAGGACCCTGGTTCTGGCAGTCCCCCTGGTCTATAAGTGAAGCTCTCAGGTCTAGCTCCTGGGAGCTGGGCTGCTTGCTTAGTGGCTCAGGCACCAAGAGGAGCTGATGCTAGCTAGCCAATATTGCCAGTAGATTTTAAGGCCCCAGGCTGGGTTGAGGGCACCAGGAATTTTGGCCTGGGTAGGGCAGAAGGGGCCACAGTCAGATTTGAGGGTTGGGGTCGATCTTCAGTCCGAGTTAGGGGCTGGATGCCTGGCGGGGGGTGGAGGGAGCAGTGGGCCTGAGAAGGGAGAGGAGGGGAGAGGAGGGGGCGGTAAGAGGATTAGGCCGCTTAGACCCTTCTCTCCCACCAGGATCCCCCACCCCCACCCCGAAGCTCCAGAAAAGATTTCTTCTGCCAAAGCAAAACCGTTTAGGCTCGATTTAAAGGGACAAGAAAGGCGGAGGCGGGGGCTTTAAATAACCTTTTAATTTCTCTTCAGGGATCCTGGCCCTGTGCGAGAGTGAGATGAGAGGAGGGGAGGGAAGGACAACCAGGGCTGCCTCTTTGGCTTAGATGATCAGGACTGCCAGTAGTGCTCCACACCAGCCGGGAGATGGTGGGAAGGACTGCGCCCCCACCTGGCTGCCCTCCACACATAGTCAGGCACACAGATGATTCTGGAGAAAACTGCAATCCCCTGCACACACATACCATCATTCAGTCACACACAGACAGGGGCACAGGTGCACATGTGGAAGGGTCACATATGGAGAAACAAATGAGGAGCCCCAGAATCTCTCCCCACCATCCCTAATGGTGGAGCGAAGAAGGCTTACTCAGGTAGGCCTTGTCCCCTCTGCCACCATCTCCAGCTGGGGATCCCCTTCCAGTAGGGGGGCATCATCTTTCTTTGCCCAGAGACTCAACTCCAACTTACCTCCTCCCTAGGTCCCCACCTCAGACAGCATAGGAACTGAAGGGCAGGCTGGAGGAATGACAACCTCAACTCAGCCTGGCCTGAGTGCACCAGACCTGCTCAAGCTGGGGGAAGAGGGCTTGAGAACGGTGAGAACGGCACAAGCACTATTGGTTGGCTGAGGACTACTGAGGCAGTGGGGCATGTGGCTCAGCCAGGCACCCGCTCTGGAAGGAACTCATCTACCACACAGATTCTAAGTCCAGCTGGGGAAACCCTTGCTTGCCTCCTATCCCAGGCTACCAAGGCTCCCACCTGTGCCAGCTGTCCCCATCCCAGAGGTCTGGAGGTGGTGTGCGGTTGGGTGGGCAGTATGCCCTGAGCCTCATAATACAGCCAGTCTTCCACAAACTCAGATCCCCAGATACCTGGAGAAGCCCACACTAACAGACCAGACCCACTTTCACAGGGACACACAGACCTCCATATAGGGTGACATCATGGACAGAGAGCGCTGCGGTCCCTCACTCACTTCCTATCCCCATACACTTCACAGACATTGCAGCCAAGGGCTGTGCTCAAGGCTGGTTGTAGATTCCTGGGTGTGGGGACAAAGTTGGGGGGAAAACAAAAATCCCTAGCAAGCTCCCTTGCTGGGATGGAAAGTCCGAAGGAGAACAGGACAGGACAGGGAAAGTGAACACATCCTTTAGGGAGGCCCGAGCGCCGGGAATTTTGAGGTGCTACAATGTGGGTGGGTTTTAGTGATTTCACAAAACCATTTTGAAAGTGCCACCGTCTAGACAGGAATTAAGAAGCAGAAATGATTCAGGGCCTTCCTCCTGGAGCCGCCCCACCCGCCTGCCCAGGGATGTAGCTGACACCTTCAAAAAGGCTTAAGAGAAAGGTGTCCCCTAAGGAACTGAGGATGGGCCCCAAATAGACTTTCCTGGGCTGCTGGGACTGGGAGTGCAGTCAGTGATGCATTTCTGGATGTGCTTTTATATTGTTAGAATTCATTTTCCTGTGCTATGAGTATATGAATACATATAAGTATATACTCTGATATTTGTGTGTAATATATACGTATACACATTTACATGTGAATGTAGACTGTGCTTATGTGGATTGTGTGAGTTTGTAAATTCCTGGGTGTTCGTGTGTGTGTGTGTGTGTGTGTGTGTGTGTGTGTGTGTGTTGGGGGAGAGGCTTCTAAATTGAACTAATGGGGAAGTGGGGAAGGGGTGGGTTGATTTAGGAACTTGGGAAAACTAGGTGCTCACAGGTTCCCGACTGGCCTGGAAACTCAAAGAACACAGGGCCCCCGCTGTCTGCCCAGAGCCACTTTAGGGGCCTAGGTCCCCCTTGAAGTCCCAGGTCAGGCCCCAGCCCCACCATCGCGGGTCTCTGAGCTCAGTTTAGAGTAGCGCTGCCCAACCCAACCACCCTACTCACCCCAACTCTCTGTCTGTCCCTCTCTCTCTGTTTCTCTCTCCGTTCCCGCCTCCACCCCCGTAAAACGCGGAGTCTCCGGAGCAGCTCACAGCGAGGGTTTGGGGCGGGGTGGGTGGGGTCTGCTAATGCCCCATGGGGCCGCCCTCCCAGCATCTCCCGGTGGGTAGGAGTCGTCCTCGAAGAGCGGGCACACGGAGCTGCGGGAAGCAGGCTCGCACTCGAGAATGGAGACCGGGCCCCTCCCCGCCCCTCCCGAGCAGCCACTGCCCTCTGCGTCCAGAGGAGGCTGGGTCCAGGTTCGGGTGCGGGGCGCGGGTCTCCTGGGCCAGCTCCCGCCCCCACGGCTGGCACTCCCCCGGGCAATGGCTGGGTGGTGGGCGACTTAGAGCTAATTCGGGAGTTAATGGCGGCGGCCGGGCCCCCCGCGGCCCCCTCCACCTCCCACCCCTACCCCGGGGCCTGGCCGCTGGCCGCCCGCATCTGCGCCGTCCGCGGCGATTCATCATCTTGATCCATGGCGCGCGCTGACGGCGGCCCCGGCCGCGCTGACAAGACTAACAAAGCAATTTGCCACGAGCCATCTCCTGGACAGGTTATTAGCGCGGCCGCCGCTTAAAGAGCCGTCCCCACCCCCACCCCCATCCCAGCGCAGGGCAGCTACCGTTCTGACCCCACCCTCCGACGGCTACTGCCACTCGCCTCTCAGAGTTACCCCCGCGTGTTCCTGACTCTCTCCGACCACCCAAAAGTAACCCGCCCCCCACCACACACACACACACACACACACACACCCCGTTAGCTGCCTGCACGTTCCTTCCTTCCCTTGCTCCAGCTGCTACCTGCTCCATTCCCTCCCTCCAACCCTAGTTCTTCAAATACCCGACGTGCTCCCAGCCTTTCCCCCAAGCTACCTGACTCATCCCCTCCTCACCTCAAGAACCTCCTTATACCCAGTGGGCCTCCCCATTTCTGCCCTTTCCACCCTTCTCCCATCTACCACCCCCAGCAGAGATTGGAAACCCCTACTTATTCACAGCTTTGGAGTTGGGGGGGGTCTCCTGTAGTGCCTTTGAACATGCTAAGTTTTTTCTGACCACTCTTGCCCTCAAGTAACTGTACTGTGAGGGGCAGGTAAGGTGGCCTTCAACCCCACTTAACCAGTGCCAGCTAGGGGGCTATGGCTCAGGTGCTCCTGAGCATAGTTCCAACCCCCCAACCCTGTAGGCAGGCTGCCTGCAGGAAGGCGCTGGCCTGGGCTTCCTCTCTGGCTGCACCTGCTCTGGGAAGTAAAGGATACCAAGAGACAAGGCATTCCCACTAAGCAATGCCCCTCCCACCTGGAGAGTCAGATGTGTAAGAGGGTTTTTGGCTGGATCTGTATCTGTCTCCCTTTTTTTTTTTTTTTTTTTTTTTGAGATGGAGTCTTGCTCTGTCACCCAGGC